GGGGGGGGGAGGGGGAGGGGAGGGACACCACTAGGACCCAGAGAATTGAGACCTTTCAAAGTTTTGGCCCAAGCAACAGGGTTTGGGGAAGTCATTTGAGCTCCCCACCTCAGGTGCCAAAATGTTGTGGCTGGCCCTATAGACATTGCTATTTATGAGTAAATGTGGTTTACTCAAGAGAAATGGGTCCTAACCAAACTCAGCATGGAAACAGCTATGGACTTGGTGGTTGCAGGACGTGGAATCCAAACTCAGAGCTACGTTGCAAAGCTGCTTCTATTTTTTTTCTAAACAAATAAAATTAATTTGACAAATCAGCAGGAGTGTACTGGCAATCAAATGGGAAATGGGTTGAGAACAGCTCTCCCCATGACATCACCCCTGCATGCTGCACAGGTGGCAGGTCGGGCTTTGTGTGCCACATACAGTGTGGATGCTGAGCCGTTTCAAGTGAGGGGCAATGGCGTGCGGACACGACGGCCCACCGGGAAATTCCCGGTATCCCGTTGGGCCAGTCCGCCCCTGCAAATCAGTTAAAGTAATGGAGTGACAGCAAAGCACTTACCTAGCTTATCATGTAGAGAACCTAAGCTGTTATAAGTAAAGAAATAAATAGTAAGGCCATCATAAATCTTATACTGCTCATGTAATAAACCAATATAATAGGTATGATTCTAGGCTCTGTTATTCTAGTTTTCAGATGGCATAAGCCCAGAAGATGAAAATCAGACTTATAACATCAACAGACATTTAGGACTGGACCTAAATTTATCAAGAACAAAATTGTTCAAAGCCTTGCTCAATTGTAATTCATTCTCTGCAAAGTAGAAATCCCATGCATTTTCAAGAAGATTTAGTTAAATTGACATAAAGCCATTTTTGAGACAGATGGAGGAAAAGACACAGAAGTAAATATTTAAAATTTGTAAAATTTGTAACTCAAAGGAAGTCTGAAAATATTCTACATGGTCTTTAGAAAAACACAGCAATTCTGAGGTCAAACTCATTTTTCAAGTCAAATATGAAGTGGGGAAAATGGAGTTTGTAATGAAAGCTAATTGCATTATCACCTATGTAGTGGCTACTCTCCCTCAACAATAGTGGACTGAACAAAAAAGCTGAATTTGAACGTCACACTTTGGATGGGAGAGAAGGTGGAACTCTGAATCTGGAACGGAATTATGAGATCAGGTTAATTTCTACTGTGAACGCTGACAGATCCAAACAGGACCAAAACCCTCTGAAATGGCAAACTGACCTTTAAAATAGATCCAAAGACCAAAATCAAGGCTGCACCATTCAAAGCATTAGCCATTTTAAGAGATGAATCCTTAGCAAAACTCAGATGGGATTTTGTAATCCACGTGACATTCCTCAATATATGCATGTTGTATTATACACTTTTCTGCCCCCTGTCTGCATTCCCCATTCCAAATTATCCAATGGCCTTGAGAGACATCAAAACCTTCAGCTGAAATCCCATTTATTGTCTCTGAAAGGAAAAGACATTCAGCCTTTCCAAAGCCCCCTGGCCTCCTCTTCCTTTGAACAGGCTGCATTCCATGTCCCCAGTCCCAGAGTACAGTGCAGAGATGCCAGCTGGCTTTCAGAAAACCAGCTTTAAAGGAGCTATGCTGAGCAAAGCCGACTGGTATCCTCATCCAGTACAAACCCTGGGGGACATAAGCGAACTTTGGTTAACCAAGAATTTCGGTTAAGCAGAGCTCTGTAAAATAGGAGTGTGCTGTGTATTGCATTTCTTGATCAAACAGATGTTGTCTAAGCTGCTTGGATCTTGACATTTCAGCTGAACATTGTTTATTATTCATATCATGCTAATCACAGTTATGAAGCTGGTTTATGGTACATCTAGTAAATAACTAGGAAGCCTTTTCTGAATTGAAGAGCAAAACAAATGCAAAGAACAGCCACAACTTTTCTGTACTTCTACAAAATTAAATTTACAGAAGCCGTTTACAGCTGGCTATTTATAGCATAGAACTTAAAACAAATGATCATGTTTGCTAGAAATGGGGACCTTGAAATCCCTCCCGCCAATTCTGTACAGTTAGACCCATGAAAATCAAAGGGCAGTATACGTGCTATTGCACAGAGATCTGAGATTTGCCAGGATATTCCAGTTGATACATCTGTTCAAAAGGGGAGAATCTGTCTCATAGAGCAAACATGTAAAGCAAAAGTTATTCTATTGCCTTATAGGCACTAGAAAATTCCAATATTCATCACAAGTGAGTTTTGGTATAAATCAAACGAAAATATACAAAATTTCCCTCAAATATTGAACAAGATACAAATATGGAAATATTCCTAAGAATATATGTAGTGATCCAGAATTAATATACATCCATACAGTTAAAGTTGTCACATAAAACTGCATTTTTTCTCATAACAAAACTATACTTTCTATATAAATTATACTGAACATCATCAACTCAGATAGATCTGTACTAAGTACAGATTTCTCCTGTAGCTAGTTATCCACTACAAACATGACCACTCATAAATTAAGACAGTTTGTTGTGAATTCAAACCTGAAAGCTGAAGTCCACAGCAAAATTATTAATAAAGTCAATAAAATTATGTTTGCCCTTAACAACTTAAAAACAAACATTATCATTTCTCATAAGATCTGGATTTAATAACTAACTTCTTCATATGCCTTTAAGTGCTGACAAATTTCAGCTCATAGCCATCTCTTTATGGAGCCAAAGAAACCAAATCTCCTCCCATGTTGAAATGTCACAATATATAAAAGTGTGTTTCCAAACTCTTTTCAATAAAATTCATTATTATAGCTTCCTTACCCTTCATATTTCAATTTTATTATCAAGACTTAACAAACAATGATCTCTTTCTACATAACAGTGTGTTTGAAGTTACAAGTCTGCCACTACTTTCATGAAATCACAAGAAAGCAATTGCCACAGGAAATATTAAATTTGATCTAGTGTGCAAATATCATTTTAGTTCCTAATCTAAATCAAGCTTACTCACCATCCAGGAATGGAATTTTACTATGTAAAATAAAATGTATGTTAAAAGCAACAAATTTTAATATTGGGTGGCCAAAACAGACACACCTGCTTAGATTTTAGCTTTAGTGAAGATACCAATTCCAAATAATGTCAACAAAATACGTAAGAATTTTGTGACTCTGTTGATTCATCAGAGTGATCTTTTTTTAAGCACACAATGGATGGAAAGCCAGATGTTTTTAATCTGGGAAGCTGCAATATTACTGCATTGTGAAGCCAGCAGACTGGAAGGAAGAGAATAACCCAATGGGCAAAATCCCAGAATTTAAATCGTTTGATCTTTCACACATACCAAACAGATTTTCCTGTGCTTCGAAAGCTCTTCCACGTTGTCAGAGGTACTTGTTTTCAGACTGCATGGAAGTAAGGGAACTCTATAATATCCTTTGTTCTAAAGTTAGAACATTTGAAAGAAACAATGTTCTCTTTTAAAAATGGGACCTTCCTGCACACATCATTTCAGGTGAAAGCAACATGAAACAAACATATAGAAGAGCTACTTTTGCCCTTTCCATTATGAGGTCTTATTTTGCGATGGAGATAACAGTTTTCCAAAAAAGATACAGTCAGACCAGCAAAAGAGTAAGTAATGACTAGTTATACCAGTGATTTTCAGACTAAGGTTCGTGAGCTACAACTGGTTCATTAATGGGTCTCCTGTGGCTTTTTGCAGAATGTAATATCAATACACCGTGTGATTTAATTATTAACCAATCTAAGTATTTAAATAATCAGGATGCTTTTACTATGTTATTAGCCAATTGCAGTTGATAAAATAGTAATATTTGGTCGGTGATTTTGCCATGAAAATAATATATATATTAGTAAATAAAACAATGAACACATACTACAGTGGCTCTTTTGAGTAATATTGATCACTAATTTGGCTTCTGAACCACTGAAGTATGAGTTATACAAACATTACACACAAACATACACACTCTCTCTCTCTCTCTCTTTCTCCCCTTCCATACTCCACTCATTACACAGAAATACTACTAGGGGCCAAATACAAATATGCTGGAAGTGTTACTGCACTGATATTACACTTGCAATATAACAAGTCTAAATTTTGATCCCATTTGTTTAAATGATGCCTAAATATCAGTGTGATGCTGGCATATTAGGTGTCAACTCATGCCAAGGTCCATAGATCTCAACTGAACAAATAAATAGCTGAAACTAATCTGGCTTAATTCTGTGTTAGTAGCGTTAAACTAGAAATTAGATTTGTAAAAATATGCTTAGACCTTGTGAAATGCATGTACGTTGCTGCATGCATTAATTTCTTATAATATCTTTATCTCATGTTATTAGTTAATATTTAAGTGTTTTCTCTGTACTGTAAACTATGAGTCAGAAGAGATACATTACCAGATGTAAAATTATAGATTGCCACAGAATGTTTTATCCAGCTCAACAAAAGAAACCCATAAAAGCCATCCATCCACATTAAGAGCATAAGAACAACCATACTGGGTCAGACCAAAGATCCATCTAGCCCAGTAACCTGTCTTCAGCCAGTGGCCAACGCAGGTGCCCCAGAAGGAGTGAACACAAGAGGTAATCATCATGTTTATCCTTCCCGTCAACCATTCTCAGTTTCTGACAAACAGAGGCTATGGTCATCATTCCTGTCAATAGCCTTAGACGGACCTGTTCTCCATGAATTTATCTAGTTCTTTTTTGAACCCTGTTAAAGTCCTTATAAGGAGTTTACAACATCCTCTGGCAAGGAGTTCCACAGGTTGACTGTGCACTGTCTGAAGAAATACTTCCTTTTCTTTGTTTTGAATCTGTTACCTATTAATTTCATTTGGTGTCCCCTAGTTCTTGTATTATCGGAGTAAGTAAATTTCTCCACACAGGTTGGAACTTCAAAGAACAAAAGACTTTGTTGAATGCTCCCAAGGAAGATGAGAAAGTGCTCATAAACTTATCCCATCATCTGAAGTCTAGGGGAACAAGAATAAATATCTGTCAAGAAGAAACTGGGTCTCTTTGCTGCTTGGAGGGGCAAAGATTACAAAGCTTAAGCAAACGATTCCTAGTGTTGGTCTGGGTTATATCTAAGTGTTTGCTTACGATAAAAGTGTCTATTACTTTCTGGAACCAAAGATTGTAATTACTTTGTATGTGTATTATTACATGATTTAACACTGTAAATAACTCTCACTTCTTTTGGTTTATTATGGAACTTGCTACGGTATAGGTTGAGCCTCTCTATTCCAACACTCTTGGGACCTAACCGATGCCAAATCAGAGAATTTGCCAAGCATGGGAGGTCAGTATTGTCTAGCAGCATTACCAACACTTCCTCTGCTTACTAGGCTTTTACAAGATATTTAGGGGTAAGTTAGAGCTAAATTATAGCACAGAACACAGAGCCAGGTTGCTGTGAACAAACTTTATGGGACTGTGGGAAACACCCATGATAAGTGGACATCGGGCTAACTAAAATCACAATGGACCACGGATGTTAGAGAGCACCAGACTAGAGAGGTTAAACCTGTATAATATTTAGTGTAAGCTACAAAGTGCAATTGACTTAAAGTAAGTGACTGGTTCTTTGAGATTGGGAGAAACCTGAATATTGTTGGTATAAGCAGGGCTCGACAAATCGCTGTTTCTACTCGCCCATGGCAAGTAGATTTCAGCCGTTCGCCCTGTTCACTGGCGCTGCGTGCTCGTGCAGTGCCGATCTGGCACGTGCACGGTACAGGGCTGGCGAGTAGATCTCGCCACAGTTTGTCGAGCCCTGGTATAAGGGACCACTGAAGACCAATGCAAGCTTACCTGAATGGCAAGATAAATCAGAGTACTCAATGGGAATGTCTGTGAATCCATTAAAGGCTGTTATAGTGTCTCAGGAGTTCACATGTGATACCTGGCTGGTGAAATCTAAGTATAAAATTCACATCCTATTTAGGGATTGTGCCTTGCTTCTTAGCAGTCTGACCTGAGGATAGTATTCGTGCTCTTGAGCCACTTCAGACAGCTCAATCCAGCAATTACTTTATTTTATAAAAGCAAGTCACTACATATTTGGCAAACTCCACTCACCTCATAGGAGGGAGCAATGTAATATGTGACAGCCACTTTACCAAAAAATGGGTGAAATTCTACTCCCACTGAACTCATCACCAAAATTTCCATTTTTTAGATCCAGAATTTAATTAAATAGCTTTAGTTACATATGTATCATAAAAACAGTGCAATACATAGGCCTGGATAGGAAAGCAAGACTAATCCTCACTTTCAAAGAGCTCCTGCAGATATCTTAATGCTAACTGATAAACTCAAAATTACTTGAGTCAATGGGACCAGGATTAATAGTCAGATGCTTGCTTGCTTCCATTTGATCCCAAAAATATTTAGTATGATCATCAGAGGTAACCTCGGCATTTGGCAGGAAAAGAAACACAGTCATAACACACACTTCCAGGAAATCCTCTCGTCTTTCAAGTCTCTTCTTCTACTCAGCTGTAGGAGCTAAGATGAACATATAAGTTTCTTATTCCTTACCAAAAAAAGCCAAACACAAAAAAAACCTCTCCACACCTAAAGCCAGATCCCGCAAGCATGATGTAAAATTCCATAAACAATGACATTATTTTCTTAAAAGAAGACTGTCAGGATAATTGTTTCATAAAATCTAGGTAATGTGTGCTTGTGTGCGTGCACGTGAGAGAGAGATGCTTTTAAAAAATGTAAAAAAAACCCAAGAGAATGCCACCATGATATTTTTCAAATATTCCAATAGGAACTCCTTATCAAACAGAAATTTATATGTGCAAGTTCTGCAACTCACCTGCTGCAGAACTGTGGCAATGCATCAGAACCTAAAATTGGACAGAGTAGAAACTGAGTGAATACAAAACTGGAAACTCATTAGCTTGCACTCCTTGAACAATTTGAAAGAAATGCAATAAAATAGAGCTGTATCAGAAATGAAAACGATACCATTTAAAATTTATCCACTTCAATAATGTTATTGGTAACCCAATAATATTGTTATTAGTAACCCAATGACAAAAGCCAGGTCTATACTAGGGGGTAATGTCCAACGAAGGTCACAACTCCAGCTATGTGAATAGCATAGCTGAAGTCGACGTACTTTAGATTAAGTTACCATGGCATCTCCACTGCGGGGGGGGGGGGGGGGGACTCTTCTTGATCTAGTGGAGTCCCAGAGTTGATGGGAGTGTGATTGGTGGTCAATTTAGCTGGTCTAATACTTGGAGATTATTAGACTTGAACCCACGACCCTGGGTTCTTTTACAATTGGTTTTCTTTTACAAATGTTTGATTCAAGACCCTAAGAATGCTATCTTAATCACAGACTTTGGAAACTAATTAATCTTATAAAAAAAGAAGAAAAAGTAACACTTCTTCCAAACATAAAGGTACATTTTCATGACTATCTCCATGGACTTGTATTTTTTCTTGAACATTTGCTCATACAGTGCAAGTGCACCAGTGGGAGATCCATCCTTGGGAGATCCATCCCTGCAGTGCCAATCTCCCAGTAAGCGTAGACAGGACTTCAGATCCTAATACCTTTGCTCTCATTGAATTCAATGGGACTAAATAAAGGTGTATTTGCGGTGTTATTTAAGTATAAGTGTATTGGATTCTGGATGATAAAGCAGGGAAATGATCTTTAAATGTCATTGTTGGAGATATCTTTGTACAGCTGGCAGCAGTATATCCAATCCTATAGTTAAAATAATAACACAGATAATTAGCACCATGAGATCCTTTCATTTCAATGGTTGTCCATGATGACAGATGGTTCCATAACATTGTACTTTAATGTTTGTGGAAATCACATGAAAAGGAGATATTACTAAATGTTCATGGAAACTGCCTAGGTATTGCTTAAAAGATACAAAATACAAACTTCAGGGATTCACTAAATCATTTGCAGTGTTTTCCCCCTCTGTCCTGTCATGCTTCACACCTAAGGCCCAGATCTCACATGGGAGTGTCCCTTCAAATTAATTGCAATAGTCCACTGGTGCACTTGCACTATATGAGCAAATGTTCAAGAATAAATACAAGTTCATGGAGATAGTCATAAAAATTTACCTTTGTGTTTGGAAGAAGTGTTACTTTTTCTCCTTTTTTTTATAATATTAATTAGTTTCCAAAGTCTGTGATTAAGATAGCATTCTTAGGGTCTTGAATCAAACATTTGTAAAAGAAAACCAATCAATACAAAAAACCAGTATTTTTACTTCTCCAATAGAGAAATAAAAAACTTCCTGTCATCAGTGTTAAGGGTTTTATTAGTATGGGACACAATAAGTTACAGTGGCAAAAATGCCTAGAAAAGAACACAGCTCTTCAGATAATTAAAGTGTGTTAGCCCACTAGCCAATTGATTTTTCTCCTTGTAAAGGTAGCTCAATTGAAATGTTAAGAATAAATCATGTGTTAAAATGATCTTCTAAAGTAAGAGTTGAGTGCATATTGATTAATAATTATTTGCACTAACAGACTCAACTAAGACAATACCATCAATTATCTCAAAAATCTGTGAGATCAATCACAATGGAATCAACGGAGTTAAAATATGTGCTGTATTTCTCCTAGTCTTAGAAATGCTTGTGAAAGTGGCCACACATTGGAACTCTAATGGCACCAAAGCTTCCCGTTTCTGAAATAACAGGAGACCCATTTTAAATACCAATTACCACCTAGGTATTTTTACTATGCAATATGCCTCCCCTACCTGGATTACATGGATGGTTTCCATGGAAAGCAAGTGTTTCCCACATGCAGTACAATGTATATAATATATAGGCTAGTATACCTATGCCAAGAAAATTCATTTTGTATTTCATGCTCATACTAATGCAGCAAGGGAGTGCAGACTGAGCCTAAACTAATGACTGAAACAGATGATTTACATGGGGGTACCATTCAAAGAATAGGTATATTCAGTTTAAATTAGCTATGTTAGAAACTAATTGGATTTATCATAGAAACATCATAAAATACTAGTAAATCTTTTTTTTAAATGTGTATTAATTTACCTGGTATAGAGATTATTAATTTCTTGTGCATTCCATGTCACAAATATAGTATGAGACTTTATTGAAAATCAAATGGGATTTTCCTTTAAAATAATATTGTACACTGTAGAATTAGAACTATGGGTAACGTGCTGGTTTTGGCGCACACGGAATCTAACCAACGAGACTATTTTAATAGTACTGTTTTTAAGGTTTCATACCCCTTGAACTTCACATTTACTCAAGACAAAATGCTGCAAACTAGGAAACGTCATCGCATTCTACACATTGCTTGACAGCATGCTCACATCTGATGGACACTAGTAGTGAGCAAAAGCATTTTCTGGACAAAAAAAAAGTGTCATAACTTTCCAAACTTAAAAATGAAGTGCACAGAGAAAACAAGAAGAATGTATCCTTAATTTTGTAAGAAAAAGTGTCTGTACTTTATAACCCTTCCCCCCTCCAGTTTAGAAATGCTACATAATTATTTTCCTTTCTTTGTTCTAGAATCCCAACTGTCTCTCTGGAGGATCTGAGCTGTGATGTTCCAGAAGGATGAAGACTGAACCTCAGCTCTCTGTTCCCACATCAGAAAAATAATATGTCAAATTCAAGACTGTCAAAATGAATTTGTAGACTGTTTTGAAAACATGGTCCGATGTTTATAACAGCCCTTAATAACATATTTCTTCTCCTATGCACCTAAATATATGTTAGAAATAATTATATCAAACTACCCGGCCAAGGAGTTACTCTCCCCCTTGATCCTGTACTTGCTGACATAAGAAGAGAAACAATATGTGTAATAACAGAAGTATAAGTAGGTATTCTTTACCAGTATTTCTCAACAAATAGTCTGTGAATTGGTACTGGTCTCTGAGATCTCCCTGACAAAGTTTCAGAAGGCAGAAAGCCAGTCCAGGTTAAAAAAAAAAGTTGAAAACACACCATTCTGTGTAATGATAATGATTATCATTACCACCAGCGTGGTTCAAGTAAGCACTGTGGACAAACTCAAACTGTAAGAATTTGTCTTCTGCTCAATTACCTAATCCTTGTCAATGAAGTCAATTTGCTTACCTGTGGGGCAGTCCTTATGAAGATTATAGCATGTCTCTTTAAAAATATTGTATCTCTGAGGAATACATGGTATACATCTGTACAAGGAACTGCCTTTGCTGTACAGGCCTGCCTTTGTTATTTACTGAAGATAAATGTTATTGTTTGAATTATTATGAAGAGAATATATGTTTTTAAATACCCAGAGTGAAGTGTTCAGGGACTGAAAATAGTTATGATTTTCTGGGTCTTTCAGTATATTTTAAAATTTGTCTTCAGATGGGACAAGTCCAGGTTTCCTCACTGCTATATGTACTGAACTTTAATACATTTACACTTTGAGGGGATATTTGTAGACAAGAATTACAGTTCAGATTAAATACAACGTCTCCTCAAATGGAATTCACCAAGGAGTAGCGGGGCCTGTGCCTTACTCTCCAAACCATCGAATGCAAGTGGATCTGAGTGACTGGGAGGGATTTCTATGCCCCGCACCTACCCCAGTGTATAGAGATGGGGCAGGAGATGCATCTTGCTATTCTATCAATGAAAATATTCCAACAAAAGAAGACAGTGAGGATGGATTTAGAACGGGCTAGGGGAATCTGTACATCTGTGGGCCCAGTGGCTAAGACCCTACAGAAGTGCAACAAGGCAGTTGCCAATGTTTCAGATAAGAGGAACAGGGGCCACAGACGGCTGCCCAGTCAGAATGCTCCATCTCTAGCTTCCACATTGGATGTTGGAAGTTCACCTCAATTAGTTGGTTGGGACACAATTGCACAGTTTGCTAAGGCAGCCAGGAGCTAAGTCACTAAACAGCAAGAGTAAAGCCAACAGCAAGAGCTGCATTTGGAAATGAACTGGATATCAGTACAGATTATGGAGCATATGTGTAATAAACAGGTAAACTTCATTTTGCACTAGGTGAATATACAGGCAGTCCCCGGGTTACGTACAAGATAGGGACTATAGGTTTGTTCTTAAGTTGAATTTGTACATAAGTCAGAACTGGCGCCAGATTCAGCCGCTGCTGCTGAATCTGGAGCCTAGGACAGAACAGCTGGGGCGCTGGCACGGAGGTCCCCCCAGGACCAACCCGGCAGCAGCCCAGCTGCTCTACCCCACAACAAAAGCCTTGTCTGCTGGGGGCGGGGGGCGCACCAGCTGCGCCCCCCCCCCCAGCAGACCAGGGAGACCTGGAGCAAAGCCGCGGGGGCGGCGGGGTCCCACGCCTCTGCGGATTTGCTCCAGGTGTCCCTGGTCCACTGGGGGGGGAAGAGGGGGATCCCCAGCAGACCAGGGACACCCTGAGCAAAGCCTTGGAGGCGGCGGGGTCTCGCGCCTCTGCGGCTTTGCTCCGGAGCGAAGCCTTGGAGGCGCGGGACCCCGCCGCCTCCAAGGCTTTCCTCGGGGTGTCCCTGGTCTGCTGGGAGGGGTCCCCAGCAGACCAGGGACACCCTGAGCAAAGCCTTGGAGGCGGCGGGGTCTCGCGCCTCTGCGGCTTTGCTCCGGAGCGAAGCCTTGGAGGCGCGGGACCCCGCCGCCTCTGCGGCTTTGCTAGGGGTGACACCCGGAGCAGCTTTTCTCACCCCGGAGGACGTGGTGGCGGGACCACTGCGCGTCTGGGTGGTCCCGCCGCCTGCGAGTTCCGGGGCGAGAAAAGCCCGGTTCGTAAGTGCGGATCCGACATAAGTTGGATCCGTGTAACTCGGGGATTGCCTGTACTAGTTCCATACATTCAGTGTATTTCCACAATTGCAGTGCTATCTAGATTCTCTTAAGTTTAACTGGAATGAGATCAGATCTAAAGAATCTTCCATTAATAATGAAAACACAACTGAAGAAATAAACCCTCTATGAAATACATTAAAACATTTTATGAATTGAGTCAGTAATTCTTTCAACTCAAGTGCCTAATTTGAATTCAAACATTGCTTTACATTACCTTAATTAGAAGTACTACCCTCTGAACATCTTAATTCTATGCATTTTTACACTTTTTGGCACCAAGACAGTGAGGCCTACATATCTGCATTCATTTGAGTACAATTTGAATGAAAGGTTGAAAGAGACAGAAAGCATAAGATTGTAAATTCATCTCTTTTTCCTAAACAAAATTATAATCTGTGAGAAACATCATGTTTTGATTACTTGCTGTACTTACAAGACCACCTCAATATTTGCATAAGTACAAAACAGCACTAACTGAAAAATACACATTTTTCTACATTTAATAATGTATTTTAAAAATACGTTTTATCATACGCAGATGTTCAATACAACTTGCTAGCCATTTTCTACATAGAAATATATGCCATATCAAGTTAGAAGTTGTCTGCTGTAGGAAAATTCATCATCCTGAAATGAATTAGCCCATTTAATTTCTTACATTCGTTTGCCCCAATCCCGCAAAAAATGAATATTTGTACGTTTACAGGCTCACTGTCAATCAATATGAAAAAGAGTTCTCATTAGTAATGAATAGTTCAACTGATTTCAGGGGGACTACTCACAAATGTAAAATTAAATAGGTACCTCAATGTTTTCAAATTCATGACCATTGTTTCTTTGACAGACTTTTGTAAAATGATGCCATATATACAAATAAATAGCATCAAATACATAGTATCACATATCTTTATAATCTGGGCTCTTCTCTTTAGAATTTTATCTTCTCAACATAATGTATTATGATTAGATGTGTCCAAATAATGCATATTTTGATTTAGAAGCGGAACAGAGGAGCTGGGTGCAAGAGGACAGAAAAACTCATTTTGAAAGAAATTGCTCTTTCCCCTTGATGAAATGAAAAACAAATAAAAATAAACAATTTATTTCAGGTCTAGATACATGTGAAAAGTAAAAAAACAAAAATTATTTTTTGTTCATTTGCTTAGTTTTAGTGTTTTCAACTTTTATAAGAAAAATAGTTGAATTTTAAATTAAACATTTTTCAAAATTAAAAGTAAAAAATGTTTCATTATGAAATGGTAAAAATGTAGCACTGTGACTTTCAGGGGAGGGAGGAATTCATTATTTCACCAGAAAGCATTTGCTGAATTTGATCTGAATTTTTCCAGGTTTAACCATTATGTCAAGCACATTAATATTTAGGACTATATGTCCTGCCATTACCTTTAATTAATTGTTTTCATAATACACTCAACTAGCTGTCTGCCAAACTGAGACCGTTTTCATTTTCTCTTTTTTTGAGAGCCCACATGTCTTTTATTAAATTTTCTGAGGTGTAATAAGTTAATGCTAAGTTGTAAACTTTTGAAAGAACCATCATAATACTTGGTTCAGAGTCACAAACACATCAGGAATGGAGGTTATTCCTAACTTTGAGTTTCTATTATAAAAGTAGTAATCTATAAACTGAAGGGAGTTTTACTGTTATGATTTTAATTATTTTGGTCATTTTGGGTCATAATTAGTAATGACTAGTTTGAGTTAGTTAAATTTGGGTTATAACTATTAGTAAGAAGTTTGAACAAACTAGTAAAGCAGGAGAACCCCGGATCCAGTTATGATTTAATCCTACAATGGATTCAAAGTTCTCATTCTACACAAAGGTAGTTTCTGAATATGGACTCATTACAGCAATTGACTTTCAGAATATGTTTTCTATTACTTCCCATGCCTCAATAACCCAGATGTCAAACCAGAATCTCACTAGAAACACCAGAACAGATGCTATGCTAGAGTGGAGCTTTCTAAGCAAATAAATTAAAAAATTGTAAACTGCAAAAGTGGTCTCCGGGAAATAGCTGTAGGTGTATTTTGCTAAAATAAGCACTAGCATTTCCTACAATCTGCCATGATTTTTTTAAAAATCATGAATGAAATTTGTCTCGATTTTCACTATAACTTTGCTGCTTAATACTCAATAGTTGTAGTCTGGGATGCCTTAGTGATGAAGGAACTACATACATGAATGGAACATGAGTGGAACTACATACATGAATATTAAAAACAGCAGAATCTAGTCTTAAATGTAGCACGTGGTCACCCGGTCCCATCCAAACTGCTATGTGTAAAGATATAGATAATCAGCAGTAAATTTGTACTCTTGGGAAATTCATAGTATAAGTGGTATTCAGCTGTAAAGATAATGGTCAAAATAGTTGTGTGGATTTTGACAGAGGGAGGCCTACTATGGTCAGGAAGACATGCACTGCACTGCTTGTGTCCTCTGCCTCTGCCAGCAGCCAGACAGACCACCTGACCATGGGTGCCTCTACTTAGATCCTGGTGTGGTTTTGCAGGAACTGTGGCTTGCAATTCCCACTACCTGAAATCCAGACAGGGGGGACCATCCAATGTGAAAGGTGCCTGCTGGTGGAATCTCTCAGGAAGCAGGTGGGAGAGTTACAGGAGGAGGCTAGGCTGAGGAGCATCCAAATCCATGAGCAATTCCTGGACAGTATTCATGTGGAGACACTAAGGTAGCTGTGTCACTACACAAGATTGCTGATATACCACTGGTGGAAGAGGAGACAGCTCGGGGGGGCAGCTGGTCACTTCTGACTGCAGGCTGTGCTCCACCCCTGCTCCCAACTCTCCCACCATGGTATTGGGAAACTGCTATACTCTTCTTAATACAGAATCTCCCCTACAACTGAGGAGGAGAAGCCTCGTGCCCCCAAGGCTGGGAGGTCTGCTGCCACCCACTGAGAGGAGGAAACGTGGGGTAGGGATGGTTGGAGACTCTCTTCTGAGGGGGATGGAGGTGCCCATCTGTCACCCTGACATGTCATCTCGAGAGGTATGCTGCCTGCCGGGGGCCTGTATCCGAGACGTTACGGAGGCATTGTCAAGGATTATCCAGCTCTCTGACTAGTACCCCATGCTACTCATCAATGTGGGCACTAATGATACTGCAAGGTGTGACACTGAGTGGATCAAGACAGACTACAGGGCTCTGGGAGTATGGGTGAAGTAGTTTGGAGTGCAGGTGGCATTCTCTTCAGTCCTTCCTGTCAAAAGCAAAGACAGGTGCATCCTGGAGGTGAATGCCTGGCTGCAAAGATGGTGTCGCCAGGAGGGCTTTGACTTCCTGGACTAATGGGATGCTATTCCAAGATGCACTGCTAAGCAGGGATGGGATTCACCTTTTGAGAAAGGGAAGACCATATTTGGATGCAGACTGGCTAATCTACTGAGGCTTTAAATTAGTTTCAATGGGGGCAGGTGACCAAAGCCCACAGGTAAGTGAAGAACAGGGAGACCTGGGAGATGAATTGGAAATGGGAGGAAATGTGGGCTATAATAGCAGAGAAAAAGGAAGGACAAGGCAGAACTGGAAGGTAATATCAAATCAGTATCTTAGATGCCTATATACAAATGCAAGAAGTCTGGGTAATAAGCAGGAAGAACTGGAAGTGCTAATAAATAAATACAACTATGACATCGTTGAGACTTGGTGGGATAATAAACACGATTGGAATATTGGTTTATAAGGGTACAACTTAGGAAGGATACGTGGGGAAAAAAAGGGAGGAGGGATTGCCTTATATTTTAAAAATGAATACACTTGGACTGAGGTGGAGATGGACATAGGAGACAGACATGTTGAGAATCTCTGGGTTAGGATAAAAGGAGTAAAAAATAAGAGTAATGTTATGCTAGGGGTCTACTACAGACCACCTATCCAGGTAGAAGAGGTGGATGAGCCTTTTTTTAAACTAACAAAATCATCCAAAGCACAGGATTTGGTGGTGGTGGTGGACTTCAACTATCCAGACATATATGTTGGGAAACGAACACAGCAGGGCACAGACTATCTAGTAAGTTCTTGGACTGCATTGAAGATGACTTTTTATTTCAGAAGGGGGGGGGGGGAGGAAGAATCTGTTCTAGATTTGATTTTAACAAATAGAGAGGAACTGACTGGGAATTTGAAAGTGGAAGACAGCTTGTGTTAAAGTGATCATGAAATCATAGAGTTCATGATTCTAAG